TAGGACTTGGTTTCTTTTGTATGTTTGTTGATATGGGTGCCAAAACCTGTACGTTTTGTGTCCGGGTCAAAGGACCGGTCTGTGTATATGTGACACCAATTTGGCCATTTTTCGTGTATGTATGCTAGTGTCATGGATTTAGCAATACTTGGGCCAGTTTCTTTACTTAGTTTGGTGGAGAGAGTTATGTCAATTTTGGGGGTTTGGAGTTTGGGTATGAAAGAGTTGTTTGGTGCTGTATTAAGTTTTAAATCATTTAGGTTGTGTTGTGTCAGTAGTTTAGTATGCGCTGGGAAATGGGTAATATAATAGAGGGTTTTTCCCAGCTAGCGCTTGGAGTCTGGAGCTTATGTTATTTTTAAGGATTTTTTTATTCGTGGGTGATCTTGGTTGGAGGCCAAATAATTTATTGTTAGTTGTTCTCAGCATCATGGGCATAGGTCCAGGGGGGTTTCGCCTGTTAGTGCTTGTAGTGTTGTACGCGGTGTGCCCTGTTATGTGCATGTGGTTAACCTTAATGCTTGGTTTAGTTTATCGTTTAATTTTGAGTTTAGGGTGTTATATATTTGGGATCCTTTGTCTATTTTGGATCTAATTAGTGAATTGTATAATTATAGTAAGGTATCTTTGGGGGCTCCCCAGCTGGAGCCTGTCAAGCAGTGTCGTCTGCTTAGGTCTTTAGTGCATCTATTTTTAGGTTTTTGATGTGAGCATCCCAGGCGAGGTTTTTATCAGAGATTAGTGTTAGAACTTTAGTCTGTTTTTGGAAATTTATGGGGTTATTGTTTAATTCTAGTTCCGTGTTTGTGCGCATATTTCTGTGTTTAAAGACTATCCCTGTAGTTTTTTCGGCATTTAGAGAGAAGCCCCATTTATTGCCCATGTCTGAGTTTTATTTAACGCCTTCTGCAATAATTTTTGGGCCAGGACGATTCCCTACCTAGGGTAAGCTTATATATTGTCGACACGCGGACCATGTGACTAGGAAAACAGACACAACCAACGTACCCTCTCCTTACGTCTTGACTCTCAAACATGGCTGCCGCTTAGTCGAGCATTGAAAAAGTGTGACATTGTCACATCTTTCCAGCCACTGTGCCCGTGTGGGCAACAAATGACTACAAAGGTCGGTACTACGTCAGCCACCCAGATCCCCTTAAACTAACCCACCCACTTCATTTTAATTATATAAATGTACGAGAAAATTAAGAGTCGACCAAATAGATAATAGGAAACAATGCTCCAACTGTTAGCTGTCTAGCCAGTGCCGTTATAATTAGCCCATGTGATCACCTGATGCCAATTAGCATCAGCTACCCAACAAACTGGGCTTCGGACCAGCAAGGGGGACAGTTGGAGGACCTTGTTGACAGCAAGGGGGAAACCCCTTGAATCCTTGCATTTGATTGGATGATGCTTACTATAACCTTTCATCTTACAACATCCGTCTGCATGAGTAAATGTGTACGTACAATTATGTAGGTCAGTACACAGCAAATAAGTGTGCATTATTTTGTATCAATGAAGTTCAGTTCATATACTCAAAACAGCAACGACCCTTATTTTTCGGGCAAATTGCATATAACACAACAATTACTTCTTCCTTCTCGTCATCCATGTTTCATGGAATAAACCTATACACCTATGAATTTATCTTCATGATGCTCAGGTAATGGCTTTACGTATTAGTGGTAGAAGTCTCCTGACCACCAGGATAGGACAAATCATCTGAAGTCATCTATTAATGTTGACTTCTCAAGACACACATGCGGGTTGCCATGATCTATCTCCTATGAGGCCCCTCGATATCCGGTCTGTCATTCGGAACTGTTCGTGTTATGCCATCGGAATGTATCATAACGTTTAACCATACTAAAAGTAAAACCACTCAGATTCAGATTACCTGACAAAGACTACATAAATACATATATAAATGTAAAATAACTCAATAATGTGCACCCCTGCCTCTGAGGATGTCAAGGGTATATAGCAATCAGTGGTTCGCATTTGGCATTTCTCGTCATCTCGGGTAATTATTCAATCTTACATTGGGTTATAAATCCAGGTCTGATGTGGTGAACGTATTCCGTGTTATATTACGCGCAGTAAGAGAGAAATATGATCAGTTGAGGTACAAAAAACATCAATCTAAGGATTAACCGATAATACGTTGATTGATTAATCACTGTTATCTTGCAAAGTGGATTTGTCAAAAGTAATAGTTAATATATGTAGGTATACCAAAGCAGACAGAATACACCCATATCTGGGCGTGAAGTGCCTTTGTAAAAACACACGCTGTTCAAGGGATTATCCAATAGTTTGTTGATTGATTGCTCATTATTATACACCTCAATGGATTTTTTTAAGAACAATGGTCATCATGAACACACTTCTCACGTGTGCTATCTCAGCTGACCAATGAGACTTGACACCCATGTGAAACACCTGAAACTAACTTACGTGATCAGTTGAGAGATGAACACAGCTCATATCCCAAAACGCTATAAATATTTTCAAATATCACATTGTTACCAAGATATCAAACTGGGACATTGTTCCTTTATGTGGATATTTATGGTACAGTCCTGGAACTGCCCAATATAATACATACAACTTTGGTCGGTTGCAATTATGATTTTGTTTTCATTCATATGCTGTAGCAATAACGTAGGAGGCCTCAACAGTGATTGATCAAATTGTTCATAAAAATATCCAACTGTAGCAATCAGTTGTTTTAAAGTGCTATGCTTATTGTTATTATAATTTTAAAATAAATAGTAAAGGTTGCTACTAAAATAACTCGATATTGGAATACATTATTTCTTATAAAACAAGTATTTGTCACAGAGTGACGAAATATCCCCCGCCTGTACACCATAGTACCAAATATGAAGACAATCCAGCGATTAGTTCTTGAGATATTGTGGCAACACCGTTTTCCAACTCCAAAAACAGATTTGCCTGCTGTGACCTTGAAAATGGGGTCAAGGTCACCAAATCTGACAGGTGTATGCGGTGTCTGTATATACACTATAGTTCCAAATATGAAGACAATCCAGCGATTAGTTCTTGAGATATCGCGGCAACACCGTTTTCTAACTCCAAAAGCAGATTTGCCTGCTGTGACCTTGACAATGGGGTCAAAGTCACCAAAACTGACTGGTGTCTGCGGTGTCTGTATATACACCATAGTTCCAAATATGAAGACAATCCAGTGTTTAGTTCTTGAGATATCGCGGCAACACCGTTTTCCAACTCCAAAAGCAGATTTGCCTGCTGTGACCTTGAAAATGGGATCAAGGTCACCAAAACCGACTGGTGTCTGCGGAGTCTGTATATACACCATAGTTCCAAATATGAAGACAATCCAGTGTTTAGTTCTTGAGATATCGCGGCAACACCGTTTTCCAACTCTAAAAGCAGATTTGTCTGCTGTGACCTTGAAAATGGGATCAAGGTCACCAAAACCGACTGGTGTCTGCGGAGTCTGTATATACACCATAGTTCCAAATATGAAGACAATCCAGTGTTTAGTTCTTGAGATATCGCGGCAACAAACAGGTGGGACGTACGGACGGACGTACGGACGGTCGTGAATACTATATCCCCCGCTTCGCGCTTTCGCGCGGCGGGGGATAATAATAGTTTCATATACAATTCATCCGATCATTGCATAAAAATGTTCGCACAGCTGGTAGCTATTTCAGGTTTAGTTTACAAGAAAATACACATGTCAATCCTACTTTTGCATATAAAACAATGCCTAGCAAAACAGAAAAAAACAATTTAAGTGGTAAATCATCATGTCTAGTGATAATTAACCTCAAATTTCACATTATTATTGATCAAATTTGTTATAAACTGTTTGTTTACCTGGATTCTCTGGAGGTTATAGGTAGACTGGTAGAAAATGTTAAAATGGGCATACTGCTGGTTGCTATTTCCAGCTCAGTTTACAAGAAAATACACATGGCAATCTTTATTTTTGCAAATAAATCAATATCCAGTATATGCCAGAAAATGGGAACATAGCATTCTACATATACACAGTCTTTGACATTAGCCAAAATTAATCTGAAGACGGAGTCTGGTAAAACTGTCTTCAGTCAAGTAAGCTCAGCCAATAATTATCAATGTAAAAACACAAGAATAAACTTAAAACAATTCTAATTTAATAACAAAGTACGGGCCAGTAAACTCATTCGGTTTTGGCACAGACTCCATATAAACATTAAATTCTGTTTCCAGAGAATTTCTACATCATTTGTACATGCCAACACAAAACGAAATTGAAAGAAAACTCACACTCCTGTTTGACAGTAAGGCATACTGGTGATCAGTTGATATTGTAACCATGGTATCTATATAAGCACCTGTGAATTTTTAGATTTGATAAAAAAAGAAACAAATATAACAAGTCATCAGAAGATGACAGATTCCACCGGCATCCACAACGAAAAAAGGCACCACTTCAGTCCCTGATCATTACATGTACAAGTTTGGATGAAAAATCTTTCACGGTTTTCAAGTAATGCTCTGGAAACGAAAGACCAGATGACGACTTGCTATTTATATCCCCCATTATATGCCGGAGGGAAAATAAATTGAGAAAAACATTATTAATTAATTATTATACATGTGTGGCATGAACAAAACTTACACTCATCCAAAAACGACGTATTTGACTCATCGAACCTCGTAACGATTTCTGAATCATTTCACAAAACTATGATATTCCATGATCATTTCAAAAATATGTCATGAATCTCATTATCTGGCACAAACAAAATTAATAATTGAAGAAAAGGTCACAATCACGACGATACAACTAGCGTACTGACAAGTTGAACGGCGATCTTGTCATCATATGCAAATTTCTGAACAGTTAAATAGCAGGTGCCCTTTGTTAATAAAAGCAGGTGCCCCCTGTCAACAAACACTGAATACACGCTGTAAAGGCATGGTAGCTGAAGACATATAAATGAAAGGATACTCACATTTTACCCTGGCTGTTAAATAAGCTAATAGAAAGACCCTAAGTTGTTCCTTGCAAGTGTTGATATCTCATCGAGTTGACTACAAAACGGCAACTTTGACACTTTCCATAGCAGCCGACGTGCAGTCACGGATACAGAACAGAGGTCGTCTAGGAGATAGTCATTCACAAAATATTAATTATTCTATTACGATTTAAATGACACTATACTGGCGACATGTCAAATCAATGCTTTCGCTATTTTGACATTCAAACTTCGGCGTCACCATCCCGCCAGTTTCCATGAAAACGTGACTCCATTCAGGTTGCTATGGAAAACTATGTATCCTTACGCGAGTACCGGTACAATGTGTCGTCATTGAAACACAGCTATGAGAAGCATATACGAGCTTTGTGTGTATAACCTAAAGTTAATGTGTACATATAGTGCCAGCCTTTATAACATTTTGTATGTACTGCTTGTTCATCATTGTTGAGATTAATATTAAACTGTGCACTATTTTCTTACACGTCGGTATATCCGTCAGTTCATAGTTGGTGAGAGGTCTCATGTAAACAACCTTCAGCATGGAGGAGGAGGTACCGAGTGGAAGTGACAATATTGTCACAGAATTCAACACATATGAAGATTTTCTGGATTCACAGATAACGTCCCTGGATTTATATTATCTCGAGGTAGTGTTTTTGATAACTTACTACTAATCAGTGATGTTGTAGAATAAGACTATGACATGATTATCATTTGGGGTAGGAGTGATGTTTTCATCGAGAATATACATTGTCTGTTTATCTTTTCCGCACCATATTAGAGATAAACCCTGCATATTTGATTGTAATTCCATAACCATACTAGTCGCTGAGGAAGGCAGATTCATTTTAATCTTCATAATAATTAAATTTTTAGTCCAGGTCACATGAAAGGCCCAGGCCGAACATTATTTTGCAATCCAAATAAATGACAATAGGCCTAATACTGACACAAGTGTGAGATACATAAAGTATGCTTCTCCAACATCCTAAATGATATTCATTAATAGTGTTTACAACACAATAAAGATTTCTCAAGTGTCCAGCTACACATGCACATACAGATCTAGACCATATAACCTGCAACCTCGGGGTATTGCAGTACTTGTTATGCATGCTAAGCAGAACAATACAAACTCGCTAACCTTTATGATTATTCATGTTCAGATGTCATTTGTTTGATCTAACTATGCATATTTTACCGATAAAAGTTCATTACTTAATAATTACATTAGTCGCACCGAGCGAAAGTGTGCACTGGGCATCGTTCTCGGTTTGACAAGGGAGAGACCAAGTTGTGTATGGAGGTCCTAATAAGACAAAAACAGGACATGATTCTACCGACCATTAAGTATGATGATGCCAGACTCCAGTGATTTTATCCAGACAAGTGCAAACACGGCAGAAGTAAAATTTAGTATGTGTAAATAATTTGTAGGCATTTAATGCATATTTACCGAAAAGTAAGAAACAAAATATCAAATCAATAACAAAGGATCATAAAAAATTATTTTTAGATTTTTATTTTAAAAAATGTAAGAAACTAAATTTGTCAAAAAAAGTGGAAAAAAATGTTTAAAGTTAACAATACATGTATAAAAAGCACTCCTTTAAAGGCAACAGTATGTATTTATCATTAGGCTACTGGTGAAGAACATGTTGCTAAGTATGGCATTAGTGCCCTTATTATCTCCAAAGAAATTGTGGCCACATAGCAGGAATAATGTGTGGACTACATCACCTCCGTTACCTTACTTGTCACCAGGAATATGCAGATGATCAAGTTCAGATCGATAGAAAAAATTCACTTAGGAAACCATGGGTTATATTGTAGTCCATTGCTAGATAGGGGTAGGGCAGTATTAAAAAGATGCCAGAACTAAGTATCAACGTGTTAATAAATCCTTACTTACAGTAGATGCAACATTCCGCAGAAATTGAAATTGTTTTTCGAAACGAGCACTTCCTGGTTACTGATTTGCATTAGTAAAATTCCGCGAGGTTTTTTTTCTCAAGTGAACTACCAGAAGTCGCAAATGCTGCGATACGATGAATGCTGCGGTACCACAGGGTCCGAATATAATATGTCAATAGACAATGACTCATTTTGATGAAATAAAGATATGATTTTCTTATTCAATGTCCAGGCAAATAGATCCCCCACTGATAAACTTGCCAACTTGCATAAAAGTTACTTTTCCTTCAATATTGTGCTAATAAATGTCATTACCATGATGCCATTTTTACTTTTTCCATTTTGATATTTTTACATGGTTTTAGCAATATTTGCCTTTAAGCAAATTTCTGTTACCTTGGTTACATGATAATAATAATACCATGACCATTTTGATTTGAGAGAGTCTCACTTTGGCGCATCAGTTTTCTTGCTATATTTCCTGAAAGTCTTTCTCATTGTGGTTAATGTCTTTCATAGGATGAAGAGCTTGCACGTCAGTTGGTGGAGCTGGGCTACAGAGGCAGTGGGGAGGTTCTCAAGCGTGAGGAATTTGAGGCCAGGAAGCGGGCAGCAGAGGCTAGCAGACTTTCCAAACGCAGCCAACAGAAGTGGGTTAAATATATATGCTTAATCATTTCTAATCCTACAATGACATATTGATTGTGTTCAGTAGGATTCTTTGATAGTAAACATCTGAAATATTTTGGAATCACATAGATCCATCTTCCCGAGACAAGAGAGTTAAGTGACCCTTGCCAAACTAGGCTTGAATTCCTGGGCTCGATCGGAGCACCACCAGTGGCTGTTCAGGTTATGTCCCTTCTATGCCTCTCCTATGGACCGATCAGATTCCACCTCTTGTATCACTTGCATTTGCTTTTAAAAAAATGGCGGCGCCCAGTAAAGACGATCTGATCAACAATCAAGATCTATATTGTGATAAAACGGGTATTACAATGCAAAGTGCATAAAATCACGTGAGCACCTTGATAAAAAACTTGAAAAGATTTGGAAAATATCTGTTGACAACGAGTTGGCGGTGGACATGCTGTACAAATCCTGCAATCGACCAAAATTTGCCTGACAGCAGAGACCATATAATAGTATATGGTCTCTGATGACAGTTTACGAACCGGATTTCGATTTCAGTGAGCGATTTTGATTGGACTATGCATAGATTCGTTAGTCCAGCCAAAATGTAACTCCATAATACCAGTCTAGTTCGGCAAGGGTGGAAACTGGACTTTTATAGTCAGTTAACTCTCTTGCCTCGGGAAGATGACAGTGCAGTAATGTCATTGTTTAATGAAGGTTCAGGGCGCTACTCTCGTTCTCTTTACCTTAAGCAATACCTGCCATAAAAATTATAAAATGGGAATTAATATATTTTTGTTTGATATATGACGATGTATTTGTGATGAATTGACCATTAGTCATTTATTCTCAGCAGCATCACTTTATATTGACCATATGTTGACTTAAATCTATTGCTGACAGACTCCCAGTACACAATGTTTGAGTTGAGTTACAAACACAAAACCATACCTGCCAACATCCTTCACATGCATTCTGTGCCTGATATTGACACTGTTACCTCATCAAAACAAGACATAAACTTGATAATACTTCAGTTGACCTTTGATGATGAATTACTCACTCTGTTATGATGATGTCACAGAACACTGGCAAGCTCTGGCAAGGACCTGAAAGATCCTTTCTCAAAAGCTCTGGCTCAGAGAGAGGAAGCCAACAGAAGTGGCAAGATGACAGTAAGTTAGCCATTCACCTACTTTCTCGATACTTGATCTGTCATGTGGAACACAAGGTTGTGTTGGGAAATGTGGACTATTACATACACCTATCTAGAAACAACAGGAGAATCAGATATGAGCCCTGCATATATGGAGGGATCACCTCGCAAATAATATTACCGTATTGCAAAATATGATCTGAACCTTGCCGCTTCACATGACCAATAGCCTGCCTACCTACAATTGTTTGTTTGTATGTTGTTTAACGCTGCATTCAGAATTGCTTCTCATCAGAAGCTACACAACAGTTCAACTGCGACACTGCTTAAGCTACGCAACATATCCAGTTATGTGATTGCAGTCTGTAAAAAGTCCAAATTTGGACTCAGTGATTGACATCATGAGCATCGGTCTACACAGTGGGATACAATGACATGCATGAACAAAGTCAGCGAGTCTTACCACCCGATCTTGATAGTTTCATACCTACAGTGAATCAGTCAATGAGACTATTCTATGCTACTGTTTGTTTCAAGTTCACATTGGTTTATCAAATCGTTGAATTTGCATTGTTGACCTGGATTGTGTCAGAAATACATCTGCTTTTGGGGAATGAATCGCTGTTTTGTATTGTTCACATTTGCATCCCTTTGATATGCCAGGATCTGCTGATTGTGGCTTCAGATCCCCTATTTGACCAGTTATGATTCTTTGTGTACACCCATATTTGTGGTTTGGTAAAGTTGGTAAAGATCTACAACCTCCATCATTTTCTCAGTTTGATTTTCCTTCAACATTAGCTGGCACACTGTGATGTAACTGAAGTACTGTTGAAAGATGCGTACAATCTAACTCCAATCTCTACTGCTTTTATCTGTTGTGCGTATGTCATTGTTAAACAATTATCAACTTTCAGACAATAATATTCATCCGTGACAAGAATGCCAGAGGCCAGGAGATTTCTGGCTACATAGACTACGCTCATCGTTTGAAGACTGAGGATTTTGAGCCTTATTTTGGAGGTCGCAAGAGATTGTTACCTAGACCATCAGACTTAAGGTATGACTTGACGGCCTGAAGTGTAAGTGACTCATATAGTTTCACATAAACTAGTTCTGTTTTACTTACCATCTAAGGACAAACTTTCTGTTTATCAATATCTGAAACTGTTGCGATATGTTCAGCGTTTATCTTGCTGCTTAGCAATATTGTGTAGCTTCTGTGTAACAACGGATATATGTTTTGTAACTTCTAATGTGTAACAAAGAATATATGTTGTGTCGCTTCTGTGTAACATAGGATATATGTTGTGTATCTTCTGATGTCTGACAAAGGATATATGTTATGTAGCTTCTGATGTGTAACAAAGGATATATGTTATGTAGCTTCTGATGTGTAACAAAGGATATATGTGATGTAGCTTCTGATGTGTAACAAAGGATATATGTGATGTAGCTTCTGATGTGTAACAAAGGATATATGTTGTGTATCTTCTGATGTCTGACAAAGGATATATGTTATGTAGCTTCTGATGTGTAACAAAGGATATATGTTATGTAGCTTCTGATGTGTAACAAAGGATATATGTTATGTAGCTTCTGATGTGTAACAAAGGATATATGTTATGTATCTTCTGATGTGTAACATAAGATATATGTTGTGTATCTTCTGATGTC